TGGACGCTAATATCGTTATCTTTATAGTTATCGTTCTTGGTGTGAACGGGGCTTTAAACTTGTTAGCCCCCGTGTGTATATATAGCCCTAGTTTTTCTTTAGTTCCTTGTGAGTGGTCAAATGTAATGGTTGTCTGTTTGCCAGTCATTCTGTTCCTTGTTCCCTTTGGTTTTTGGCTTTTGACTTATTGTTAGTTCTAGTTTTTCCATTAAATACCAGCACATAGAACCTTGCCTCTGCCATTTTCCCCAGCTTCTCCACAACGTTACAGTTTTTTTAACTAGCATGTCTCTTTGACTAGTGCACTTTTTGAGCCTATATTTAGTATAAGTAAAATACTTATCTCGCGTTATTTCCTTATCACTTCTCGCGTGTGTTTTGTTGTGAAATGTAGTTTGCGGACCAGACAGAGCTGTCGGCGATTCTTCCTATTGTGAAGTCATGCAGTGTGAAACCCCCTGTCGCCGATCCATCGTGCAATGTGAACACAGCAGCAACTGAATGCTACCCCAGATAGTCACGCAGTGTGAAAACAACGGTGATCCGACGAGTTTGAAAATCGTGCAGTGTGAACTCGGCATAAGACTTTTACTCAAGTTGTTTTTGGAATTGGTGACTTGTAACGTGTAGTGGAGTAATTTTCACTGTAAGGTATCTGTACTTTTACTCAAGTATGGTTTTTAGGTACTCTTTACACCTCTGGATATACTGTATCTGAAACCAAAAAAAAAGCCACACTATGTGCGTTTCAAACTACAACTGTTTGGAACATTCCTTTTAATCATGTCTCTGCATAAAGTGATAGCAATAAGCAGTCATACTTTGAAAAGGCCATTACTTTAAAACAATTACAAACCTACGAAATGGGTTAATAAATCTGGTTATATATTGCAACCATTCAATCAGCCCATTTGGAGCTCATATTACCAGGTTCGAAGTATTCTTTACATTGCAAGAGGCAAATAATCAGCTTTTAATGCTCTGAATCTATTCAATTGCCAATTATGTACATTAGAACAATGGTTACTGCAGTCAAGGGACAACAGCATAATATGCCTCTGGGACGGTAGAAATGCAGTCTTCAATCTAATTCTGCTGACTCTTGAAAACATAGACGAATAGAAATGGAGCTCATATGCTACCCCAGCATCAATATTGTGTGGTCTAGCTAATGAACTCCTCTGTAAACTAAGTAGCGTGTACGGTTCTCTGCATTTTAGAGGTCATTTGCAGTGATAACAGCTAATATTGACTTTAGTCTAAATATTAGCCTAATACATGTTATTTGTTGCATGACGACTTATAACCCAGCTACGTTTAACCTAAATTATCAATCTTACTTCTGTCTGGTTAGGTTCAATGGCACCAATGACCATACAGGGAGGTGAATAATTTACAATACAAACTGATGAATTATTAAAATATCTATTAGCGGTGCACATACTAAATAGCAGTTAGTGCATATTGAGGAAGGTAATGGAAATGTTCACCTAGAGAGTTACAGATCATGATGTCCCTATTATTGCAAAAATTATTAGTAATCTTAATGTGAACTTAATATGTCTCTTCTGGGAAAAGGCCAGCTGTCCTTACATTTGAGTATAACATGCGCGCAGTGATGAATTGTTGAATTCGAACTCTTTAACATTCTTTCAACAATAAACACAATATGTGAATCCAAAAATGGTGAAGAATCCACGAGAGATTTCAAATTATCATCTTCATAAAACCTAAACCTTGAGGACTTTGAAACGGCCATATGAGAGTGTGAATACTGTCCTATACACAAACGTCAACAATCTTGTGTAAAAAAATAAAAATAAAAAAAACATTTATACACTTCTAGATGAACAGATTCCATACATCTCTAAAACGTCTGGTCTTTATGTGTGCCAGACTATTGTAGTTCAGGTTCCTCTCTTGTAAAACCTTGTTAACAAGGAAGGACATTATACAAAATAGGGATTGAAAAAACTCTATTTAAGGGATAGTTCACCTAAAAGTGAAAGTCTGTCATCATCTACTCACCGTCACGTTGTTCCGAACTGGTCTGACTTTCTTTTTTCTGTGAAATACAAATAGAAATATTAAAAAGAAACGCTCAAAAAGAAACTATGAATGTAAAGGGTGACTAAGGGCTGTCAGTGCATAACATCTGTGTTCCATAAAAATAATGCAGGTTGGGAATAGCAATAACATAAGGATGTATTTTGGGGTGAACAATCCCTTTAGCTGTCTGAAATGTAAGTACAATGTTATATAATCTAACTGAAAATGTAACTGATTTAAAAAAAAATGCTGGATGTGACTAAGAAAATATGCCACTGTTGCTTGCCATTACGCCATCACTGGGGGAAATAATCACTCATTATAACTAAATATACACAAACGCACGCATGCACGCACCACACACGTTATTTATATCAAAATGTAGAATTAAAGCAAATGCTTTACATTTAAGTAATGTATAAGTAAACCGTGTTACTATGGCGTCTGAATGCTCATTTATATGAACGTTTCACTTCTTTTCTCCCTTTATCCTTCTCGTAGTACATGCTGCTCAGAGCCCGCCCCTGCTTGATAGCGATTGGTTAAAACATGTTGTAGAACAACGCTATCGATTTTGATTGGGCGGTTCATTGTCAGACGCCAAAGCATGAAGACTTGAGTGAAGCAACACCTCTCCCACATGCATAGCGCGATGCGATTCATGTTTGCCTCGCGATTGGATGCATGTGATCACGGGTGCAGAGAAAATGCCATTTGCAATTGGCTCATCTGCTTCAAGGAGGGGTTAACCGAGATAACCCGGAAAAGGAGGAAGAATAGCGCCTCAGTTCCGAGTCCGATCGTGGACTGTCAGACTTATCATGGGTAATTATGCTAAATTTATTTGCTCATGTCAAATCTTAGTTAGCCAGACGTTGTGAGAAAACACTTTGTGTCAAGTTGCATTTAGTTTTGTGCAGGACAGAGCATAGTTTCCTCCCCAGTCAATCTAACATCATAGCATGGAGGCATTGCCACCACTAACATGAATGTCAGTATTAGGACTTTGGTTTCCTTTTTTTTTTCTTTTCCAAAATGATCAAGGTAACAGATTACACTGGTTACTTGGCATTAGCTACCACTTTCATGGAAAATAATAATAATAGTAATTAATATTAAATCATTAATAATTAATAAATAAAATTCTCATACTATTTGAATGGCATATACATTTATAGGATTTTTAGCAGTAGTAGTATATCATAGTAACTTTAACTAGAGTATATAATTGGAAATCATAGCAGTTAAGCAGTAGCACTTTATTTTACTGTCCTGTTCCTCACGTACATGTTATGTACTTATTATAGTAATTCTCTAACTGGGTATTAACTATTAACCCTGAACCTAATCTTAACCCATGTAGTTACCTTATATTACCAACTTAGGCAAGTACACTGTAAATACACACAAATACACATACTGTAAAATAAAGTGCAACCATTATAGCACTGTAACAAAATAATAATAATAATCTGTGGAAAAACGCATAACGTACTAGCAGAAAATTACTGGTTCAATTTTCATTAAGTTTACGGGCATTTCCTTCAACCCTAAAACATATCACTATGCAAAACACCTGTGAAAATTAATTCATATTAACAGTACATTATAGGATGTATTTGTACTAACTTTAGAGTACATTTTTGTATGAAGTTTTAGAGTGATCAGAAATGCCGTCATCGTACAGAATTAGGACAGCTGATTGCTGTGGATTTGATTGAGCTCTAAGTGGCTCATAGCACACTTAACATAATGAATGGAGTTAAAGTCAGACTGCAGTATGATCTCAGCCCAGGTCAAAAGGCTGCCTATAGATTTGTGCCAGTGTTGCATTTAAATGGATAAAAATGTAAAAAGCACTCTATATTGTTGGATTGTTTTGCAGATGTGTTTGAAACTGAGCTTGAGTCTTTCTTCCATTTGTGGGCAAAATGTTTACCAAGTTGCTGCTTCTGTATAAACGAGGAGTCTTTTATTATTACATTACATGGCCTTGCTAAGCCAAATCTCGATGAGGGTGAGAAGAAAAACAATTCTCGTACATAAACATGATTTTAAGGGCAGTGGTTTGTGATGTGGTGTCATGGAATAAGGATGGCGTGTTTGCTGTAGCTGCTTCTAATCTTTTTTCTTTTTTTATTTAAATAGAACAAAATGGTTACCATAAAAAGATGAAATGCTTTTTTATGCAAAAAACATAATCTCATAAAGGTGATAAAAAATTACAAGACAAATGTATTGAAGCGGAGATCTTTATGTTTTTATGTGGACACAGCAAAGCCTGACTGCCCTCTGTACACCATAATATGCAGCTTCACAATTTTCTCATTTATTAACTGTTCTCTTCAGTCGTTCCTGCTGCCTCAGCCTTTAAATGTTTCATGAGTTTTTAAGCTGTTTTTTTCTGCCTAAATCTGTACTTAAGACTTTAAATCTTCCACCTTTATACTCACAAAATCAATTAATTCTTTTAAATAATTTACATTTTGTGCAAACAAGATTTAGCAAAGCATATCTTTGTGTCAGACCTAGCTGCTATTTCTTAGACGTTAAGTTTGTTAGATCGGGGCTCTTGCGATTCATTGGTAATTAGAGAAATGGGGCAGTCTGATGAGACATTAGGACCAGACCTTGAACCCCAAGAGCTTTTGCAGACATTCATATTTTATGATACAGACGTAGAACAATTAGAACGGTCACAGGACGGGTATTTTAGCAGTGCTGTAATCCCATTTCAGGATGACATCACCTTTAAAATTCAGAGACTGACAGACCCATCAGTGTTCATAATAAAAGAGATACTTCTGGGACAGAGTTAAAAGTTAAATGCAAAACAAGGAGACTTGCTAATGTTTCTGCCAGCTGAAAATGGCGCCGGAGTTCTGTAACCTTAATCACTGAAATGATTAAAGCAAGCGAAGGTTTAATTAAGATAGGATTTTTTGACTGAGTGACACCTCGTCTGTACAAAGTGACAGGTTTGAGCAAAGGATAATAAAACACCTCTGGCATCATGTGATTTCATTTTTATAATAGGCACTGTAATATTTGGCAAATGCATATATTTTTATTTTATATATTTTTAATCATTAAATATAATGCAATATACATACAATATATAATAATTTTTTTTTAAAGAAATTCATACTTTTATCGGGGATGCATTAAAACGATCAAAACTGACAGAAAAGACCGTTTTTATTCATCAAAGAATCCTGAAAAACAATGTATCATAGTTTCAATAAAAATAGTAAGCAGCACAACTGTTTTAACAAAAATATTTCTTGAGCACCAAATCAGCATATTAGAATGATTTCTGAAGGACCATGTGACACTGAAGACTGGAGTAATGGCTATAAAAATTAAGTTTTGCCATCACAGGAAAAAAATACATTTTCAAATATATTAAAATAGAAACGGTTATTGTAAATGGTAATAATATTTCACAGTATCACTATTTTACTCTATTTTGACTTCTTTCAAAACATTTTTAAAAATTCTTACTGACCCTAAACTTTTGAATAATATAATATAGCAAAAACTATAGCAATGTAAATGTATGTTTTTGTTGAAATAAACAGATATTAGGTCTTCTCTGACTTGCCCCAAAGATGCAAAGGCTGACAGAATATCAAAAGCAAGGTCACGTAACCACAGGCTTCCTAAAAATCTCCGGATTCCAAATTGTCCAGTTGCTGCAGGAATATCATGGCCTACCGCCTTGTAATGCTAAGCCCAAGGTGACTCTGTGACCCAGCTTATCAGTTGCAGAACTGCAGGCCTGAGCCTCCAGTGGGCTGCCTCAGGAGAACATGTTTTATAGCCCGTGCCGGTGTCAGGCATTTGTCATTTAAGGCTGCTTGTCAGGACCTTGACTTGGCTGATATAACCTTATATGCGTGTTCCCCATCCATTTTGCAGCCTGAAGATGGGCTCCATTTCCTAGAAAATCCAACTGTAAATTGCACTAGGGTTATAAATAACAGAGCGGTCATATTGTTGAAATATATAGCTAATGAGAAAATCAGTATACAAATATATTGTGTCCAGTTGTTTATTCAGACTACTGTTTTAACTAGGCCACATTTTCATTGGCTATTTGTCACTGTAGTGGCACTGTAAATGCTCCATGTAGGCCAGGTCTTCTGATTACAGTAGAGGTAAACGCAGCCATTGATTACGAATTTGGCCGATTACATAAGAAGCATAGATTTTCAGCTTTCCGATTAAAGCCCTGTACATTCAAATGTTTAATTTTTATGGGCAGTGCACATTGACAAAAGTGTCTAGTTGTTATATATTTGGCAAGTATTTTTGAGTCTGAGAGAACATGTCAATAGTAATCCTGATATTGATAGCAGTCCTATAAGAGATGTTACTTGCCCGAGCTAACATCTATGTGATCCTCTAAATCATAATTACATTACTATTGACAGGCCCTTGATAATAGTCACATTACTATTGATAGGTTGCTGTCAATATTATGTTCTCAAATAAAACATATTCATTCATAATTTGTAAACTGCTCAATAAAAGCCTATGACGAGAACATGGAAAAGCCGTATCCCCAGAGTGGCCTGCTGCAATGATTTGTCTCACCTGGCCGAGTGCTGCCGAGCAGTGAAGGATTTTTTCCTTACCTGAGAAACTATTGAACTGGTCTGTAAGCCTCGGCAGGTATAAACATAATCTGCGGCCTAAAAGGGGAAGTTTTGACTGATACAATAAACATAACTACAGTTTCCAACATCTGTTTAAAGCAGATAATTTAACTGATTCATGAACATCTTGCATCCTTTTTATTGTCCATTTCAGTTTCATTCTTAAATGGGTGAAGGTTTTAGGCACAGATGAACCTGAAGTATTGAAAAAAGATTTTCCTTACAGATTTAGGGATGCTTCCTGCCATTTTCATAAGCCAATTTATTTCAGATATTGTCCAAATCCAGTCCTAAGCTAAGAGGTGGTCACCACAGCTCCTGGCTCTCATTTTTTAACCATCACGTTTAAAGAGATAAACTCAGCCCGATACAAACGCATTCCATGAAAAATTGCCAAACGTCACAGTTCTTAGATCCCTTATAAAAAGCCGTCAAAGTAAAGTAGCTCCACATAGCGGATGTTTACTGCCGTTCCAAGCCTGTGCTGTTGGGATAATCTCCTGTGATGTGATTTGTCCTCAGACTGAATCTCGAGAAGGAACAGCGTAAGACCTCCTGTGCCTCTGCCCTGCACAGTTAAAAGGGAATTTAGGATGGGTTTTACATGTGAAAAGTGATTTCAACTCAAATGCAAAAATGCATAACCATTTGCTTCTTCTGCTTGTAGCTGGAGCTGGAGGTGACAAGCCTTTCGCCAAGGCCGGCCCAAGCCCTTTATCTCGGGTTTTGAGAATAAGTCAGCTGGATGCTTTTGAACTGGATGGTGCACTGGAACAGCTTGTTTGGTCACAGTTCACCCAATGTTTCCAGCATTTCAAGCCTGGGCGCTTAACCCCTGTGGAACCAGAACTCAAGGCCCTTCTCCAGCTCCTCTTGTGGAGGTTCACCGTCTTCTCTAACAGTGCCACCGTGGGCCAATCACTGCTCAACATCCGGTACAAGAACTCTCTGATCCCAGGACAGAAGTACCGGCACATGAGCCGGCCACAAAAGTTCTGGTTTGTTCTGCTGACAGTTGGAGAAAAGTGGCTGAGAGAACGCTCATATAGCTTGTTCCTCAACCACCCTGCAGAATCCAATGCCCGCAAGGCCCGGAAGGTACTCAGCATCTTGACGGGCCTTACTAAAGTGGCCAGCCTGGTCAACTTCCTACTGTTCCTCCAAAGAGGAACCTATCCAACACTTACCGAAAGATTGCTGGGAGTGCAGCCAGTCTTCAGTCGACCCCAGGGACCACGAGACATCAACTTCCAGTTCTTGAACCGGGAGCTGTTGTGGAACGGCTTTGCTGAGTTCCTTATCTTTCTGCTGCCTCTCATAAACATGTGGAATCTAAAGGCCAGTGTTGCCGCTCTGTTCTCCCCTCTGAACGAACTGAGAGGAACGGAAGGTTCGGAGGAGACCTACTGCACTGAGTGCGCCGTCTGTGGAGAGTGGCCCACAATGCCCCATTCGGTCGGCTGCAACCACGTGTTCTGCTACTACTGCCTCAAGAGCCACACGATCGCTGTCATCTGCTTTACCTGCCCCAAATGTGGCACAGAGACTGGAATGATAGAGCCAGTCAGGCTTCATGAGTTGCATCAGAGTTGAGACTGTGCCTCTAACAGTCTTCTGATTGACTTGAGATACACATACAGCAGGAGAACTTGAGGCCAAGTTGAACGTTTTGAGTCTATCAGAGAGATTGGTTGATGAAGGCATATGGCTTGTGCCTTCTTCTGAAATGAGAGCATTTGTTGCCATGATATATGCAGAATTTTGTACAAAGAGACAAACTTAATGATCTAAAATTCTAAAACAACATCATTTGTGTCGCTAATTTATTCAGCCTCATTAAAGTTTGATAGAAACTGTGTATCAGAGGTCCACTTTTCTGCATTCTTGGATTGAGCACTGAGCAAATGAATAAACATCAAAACATGCCTTTGCTCAACTGCCTGCACGATCCAATTCCCCTCATCCCCTATGAAGGGAGAAATTTGCACAAGATCAAGGAGAGGCCATGATAGCACCAGGGGGTAGTTGGGTTGGATTAGGGATGGGTATCGTTAAGGTTTTAATGGTATTACTGCTCTTACCGATACTGCTTATCGATTCGGTACTTTAACTGTATTCTTATCGGTACTTTTTGTTTTTATATATATATATATATATATATGACAAATTAAGAGCTGAATTAACATTGCTTTATATTCTGAAATGTAAAATAAATATTTAATGAAACGAATATAAAACATCAATTTGTAAATGCACCAGTGTGCAGGCATTTTTAGTGTTTTATACATAAGATAAGATACAGTAAGAACATGAACAAAGAAACAAAGCAAAACAAACTAACTCTCCAAGCCGACCATTTTGACATATTTCTGTGTGTATTTGATCGTTTGGACACCCGAAGCTCAAAGTGTAATTTGTCCGTTTTGGAGCGCGAAGCGCACACATTTCAGCCTGAGGAACAGCGTCTCTTGTGCTTTCAACGTTTTATCAAACATGTCCCCGCAATTTAGCAACAGTAAATACGGCATTTTACAACAATCACCGATTGAGCTGATTCTGACGTTAAGTTTGGGTTTTAGGGAGGAACGAATGCACACCGCTGTGAAGGGAAAGAAGTTGCGCAAGATGAAACGCAGCTAGTTTTTAATAGCTTTACCTCATGTCTTCTTTTGTATAATCCTTAGAAGCCAAAATCGAAATAAAAAAAATTAAATTAGCTTAATAAAACAGCCACAGGCCTAAAGTGTAAGCAGATGTTTGAATGTTTAGTTCTCTCTTCTATCATAATTAAACAGGGCTTTCATGTTGCGCGTGCTGAAGCTCCTCCGCGTGAGCTCAATCTCGCTTCTGCATTGCGAATAGCAAAAATGCATCATAGACAAATGTTTGAAAAACAGCTGGTGACTCTGGTGAGATAGAATTTGCAAGATAATGTATATATAGCAATAATAAATGTATGTGTGTTTTCTTCATTTCTCCAGTACCGATAGCAGAACCGTTAACGTCAGAGATTACTGATACTCCGGTCTTTCATAATTTAGCCCCGGGACCGATTATATACCGGGTTTCGGTACCCATCCCTAGGTTGGATGCAGATAGACAGACATCCCACCATAATCTCCATGGTCCTTCTTAATACGCCAGTAAACTGTAACAAACCAAAGTAGGACCGATGCAAGTTTCTGGAATATTATGCCCTAAGCCTAATAATGACTGCAAAGATGGGTATTTATTCTGCTGTTAACCCTCTCCAGTGAGCCATGCCTCAGGCCAAACACATCCAAATGGACACAGACCTGCTCGAAACTCACACTACAGTTCCCCTCCCACCCGCCCCCCTGCTTTAATTGCCCATTGTGAAGGCAATGAGTCACTTGTCTGGGCACGAGGGGTCTAGTGGTTTGCAAGAATTTGTCATTTTTTGTAATCACTGCTCTCAGGTTCGCCATAACAAAGATTTGAAAATTGGGAACATGGCATACCGGTCTGCCCTCATGTGGGTTCATTGACGTTATTATGCATATGGTCAAATAAACGGGACCACCAAGAAGTGTTGCTCTCACTATATCCAGAACTATTCAAGTTTACTTGTGTACTAGGTTAACAATGTTCAAAAGATATTTAATATGCAACAGCATATGTTTATACCCTCTGTTTTGTTTCATAGGATTAAAGGAATTTGCCACCACTGTTCTGGAAATGTTCGGTAATGGTTGCCAATTTACAATATACACAACATATGGTTCTGGTGCTTTTCACATTGATTGGGTCCAGGGAACATCTGTCCTTCAAAATACATTTGTTTAATGACTTCAAAAGCATCCAAATAAAATCTTGTAAAACACTATACCAGACACAATAGAGTATTGTATATTTGTGTAGTTTTTGACATTTGCTTTGTTAAACTATATTAATGTATTTTCTGAATATATTATTATTAGCATTAATTATACATAATGCTCAGTTGTTAGAGACAGACGATTTCAGATAGTTACTTGTTTTAAGCATTAATTTAAAGTTTTAAAATAAAAGATACAGATAGCTATATATTTTTGTATATAGTGTGTATTTTACATAGCTTTTCAGACATGTGAACATCATAGTGAGTTACATGCAAATCATTTTTATCATTTTTCTTTGTAACAGTTCATCTGAAGAGTCCGCCTTCATTTTGCACTTCATCTTCTCCAAATCTCATTTACACTCAGGGTTGCACTGTCTCCAATCAGCAAAAAAAACCTGTAGACTTTGATACCATTTACTTTGCCAATTGCCCACATGCCTTTTTTTACATACATGCTGGGTGTTACAGTGGACAAGGCCAGCTTCACTCTTTGATGAGTGATCCAGCCCATTACAATCAACACATCCTTGATCCTTTGATGTCAGGCATTGAGTTCACTGATTAACAGGTTTGGAATTAAAGCGCTCTAGTTTAATCTGCATAATACAAGTACTTACCCTTTGCAGCTATTCTTTGCTTGATTAAATAGGAGCTTATAGCGTAATGAAAGACATACTCTATTTTATATCAGAGTTTAAATACAAGTGTCTGGGATTTTGTTTTTGTGTGTGCTTGTCTGGGCAAGGCAAAAGTCATTAAAAACAAATAAAACATCTGAGATAAAATACTTCATGCAGTTCATTGCCATGTGTTGCTCTAGACTCCTAACTAAATGTTCATGGTTAAAAAGCAAATTTAACACAGCTACTGGACAAACTTGTCGACAGTGGCCAATTATCTGTGTTTCTTCACTGTTGGAAGGGCATTTGCACTCTAAACCGGGAATGTGGAGAATCAATGATACAAAAAAAAAAAAGATACATTTCCTGACACCCACTGATTTCTCAACATAAATGGTTCACTTCTGACCAGCGGAACAAACATCCATCTGTATCTCTTGCCATAATTGACCCAGTTTCTCACGTCAGTCAAACATCCAAACATTTTGCAGCATACCTTTAAAATACATAATTGCATTGATTCTTTATAAAATTGCATAATTGCATTGATTTATTACCATAAAGCCTGCACATATTGAAAGGGTTTTCTTCAACTATTGGCACTTTTGGCCTTATGGACTAAAACATACTTTTAAAAAATGTAATAATACTCCAGTGAACAAAAATATGTTCTGAGAACGTTTTGCTAATGTTATTTCTTAATGTTTGCTTAACATTCAAAAAAATGTTTATGAATGTTTTAAAAATGTTACTTTTCTTGGTTCTATACCGCATTAAGGGAACATTCCATTTTTGCAAGGAATGTTACCTTTGAATGTTCTGAAACAAATAGTAACATTTAAAAAAAATGTAGACAAACATCCAACTAAAACTGTTCCATGAATGATGTATAAATAGCATTTTTATACTAAGGTTTTAGAACATTATTAAATACCAGACCACTTTGAATGCACATTCTATTAACTGTAAGAATGTTTGTTCATATCTTTGAGAGAACATTGCCAGAATGTTAGCCAGTTCTGAGAACATTCTCTGTTAGCCGAGACATTCCCACTTTATTTTTTCCTAATAAGTTTCAAGATAACACTTTTTCATAAAAACCATCCATTGGGACGTAACAGTGCGTATAGTTTGAGAAACCCCTTTTTAACGGACAAGCTCAACGTCATGGCTTCCTGCTCTTTCTCACAGAGCCTCTCAACTCCAGGCTGATGCTAACCCAGACAGCAACATAGTGTTGGCCCAGATCCGGCCCACATCTGGCCCGTGTGAAATCCATGCGGGCCAGATGTGGGCCAGATCTGGGCCGAAACTGTCTGCTGTCTGGGAATGAATGCAAGTCTGGCACTGACATTATCTGCTGGTAACATCTGAGGTGGAGGGAATGAGTTTGGCACGGTAAGTGATAGCCTCGCTGACTCCTGTGGAGAACTAGAAAGACAGACTGCATGCCTGGAAGGAAAAGCCAATACCTGTGTGCCTCCATAGGCCCTCCGTTCATTGGCTGTGCCGGACTAAAGTGGCTTAAAGAGAGAATGAACAGCAACGAGGAATTAAGGCGGATTATGTGCCAGTCTGCACTGTAATGAGCCTGAGGTGAGGTGGGTTCCAGCCAAAGTCTGAGCAGGCCTCTCATTGATGTCTACTACACACAAAATTGCAAATAATCTGCAGACATCCTTCCAGATGTCCCCTTGAATTTCCTGCAGCTTAAGACAAATCGAAAGTGCTTTGAAAGTTTTGATAATCAAATAGCAAGTTTGATTGAAACTTTGCACATGGAAGAAAGTTGCGTGCAGCCATCTAAAGAGGTTTAACTGGTGCCCTAATGACAGTCATTCCATCTCTAGGAAATTTTACAGAGATTCAGGAGAGGATGATACCTTCTCTTATCTGGTCATATAAAGAGACTGAATTGCAGCACCTTAGATTTGAAATGTAACAATGTTTTCTATTTTTAATGTAAAACCCGAAATATTGTGAAATATTATTACAATTAAATAAATAAACTTTTCTATTTTAATACCTTTTAAAATAATTAATTTTAAATTTATTCCCGTGATGACAAAGCTGAATTTTCAGCAGCCATTACATCATTCAGCCTGATATGCTAATATGGTGCTCCAGAAACATTATTATTATTATTAAGGCAAGGGAAGTTTATTTATATAGTACATTTTATACACAATGGTAATTCAAAGTGCTGTACATGAAAAGGAATTAAAATAAAAAAGTGCATTAGAAATAAAAGTAGCATAAGAAATAAAATAGAATAAAAACAAATAGCAATTATTAAAAATATAAAAAAATATTTCAAATGTATTAAAACAGTTAAGAATAAAAAGAGGATACATTAAATACAGCGCAATTATTATTAATGTTGAAAACAGTTG